CCTCTGCCTCTGCCTCTGCCTCTGCCTCTCTCTTTTTTTAATCACCAGGTTCTGCAGTCTGAAAAAGTTTGAAAACCCCTGCTCTAGATATGTTGGATGATTTAGTCCAATGTATCCTGAAGTATCCACCTGGTTAAGAAGGTATTCCCTCCTCTGGACATAATAAAGCAGGAAACAGTTTTTACCTCCACTAAAATATGCATTGCCTTATCATGTTATGGAGGAATTATGCAGTAAGGAATTTCATTCATCAGAAGCCAGACAGTAATTAAACCTAAAGTATTTGCTGATCCTTAGAATAGGGCTCCTAAGGTTACAGATGTACCCTTTCTGTCCATTACTGATGTATGATTTTTATTTTCTGGGAGCCTGAGGCGTATATCATTTTAACTTGAGAGCGTATCCACATTTCCATGTTATGCACGGGTGAGAGTCCCAGCAAAGGAAGAAAAATCAGTATTGCTAATTTTTAAAAATCGGGATTTATGTTGTGTCTCTATGTTTTATCAGTGGTAGATGTTTATCAGGCATGGTGTGGACCTTGCAAAGCTGTAGTAAACTTGTTCAGGAAGCTAAAAAATGAATATGGTGAAGATAATCTACTACATTTTGCTGTGGTAAGAATTTGAATGATCAACTAGCTTTTTCTAAACTCGCACCCTCCCTATAAGTTGGACTTCAGTTCCCATACCACCAAGCAAGTGTGTCCAAGAGCTGACACATCAAAGGTCATTAGCTTATGGAAGACTGTTGTACACTTTCTCATGCTAAATACTCTGGAAGCACAGTTTGTGATATTAACACCTCCATTGACCAGCTTAGTCTCATTTTGACAGGGAGATTACCTGAAAACAAATTATCATTAAAAGCTTCCATAACACAAGCTGAAATTGGGAAGAAGGAATTTAGGTGTCACCAGGCTCATTTAAGGCACACAATAGCTTTGTTATGGTCTATAGAGAGGAGGTGAGATAAAGAAATGACAAAGTACTACTGGCTAAACATCCTAATTAAATAAATTTAGCCTATCTAAAGATAGATCAGAAACTATTCTTCACAATTGGGCAGGCAAGAGATAGACTAAAAAGTATGTTAATTAAAAGCAACATGGCTTCTTCTTCATATATAGATTTTGAAGCTTGAGAAAGGTGAAGGAATGAGCTGTTTTAGGCAAGAAGGCAGATGGTTTTAAAGAAATAAACATTGGAAGTTGGCTTAGACTTACAAGAATTTCAATGGGTGTCTCATAATCAATCGTACATATATTATCCAGTTTAAGGTGACTAAAAGCATTTAGAATTACATGAAATTTGGATCTCATTTACCCATAATTAAGTGATTTTTACCATGTTTATTTGAGTAGCCAAATAAAATAGTAGAATAGCAGAATGCTTACCTTTGGGTAGGTCAATCATAGTCATTTCTTTAGCTTTGCATTTTTCAGTGGCAACTACAATGTTTATAAAGATGGGAAGTGATTTTCTTTGGGATCTATATTAGAAACAAGGAGAAAACAAGCAGCAGATTATAAATTAAAGTTCTTGATAAACAGGGCTACCAAATCTTGGCTGCAAAAAGTCAGGGTGACCAATAGATAGTTCAAAGAATGAGTTCATAACTCTTTGCTTCCATCTACTGGTCTGGCTTTTGCAGCCCAAGTTCTAGTGAAGCTACAATAAACCACAATGGAGAATCATATGGTAACTGTTACTGTACGATATGACTTAGGAGAAAAAAATATTGCAGATATATTTGTATATTATTCATTTAAGGCAGAGGCTGATAGTGTGGTGACCCTGCTCCCATTTAAAGATAAATGTGAACCTGCTTTTGTCTTCTGTCTGGTAAGTGCACTGTAATAGGGATGGGACAAGTGCTTTGCATAGGGTTAAATGTGTGTAAAAACACATAATGTTTTCTTGAGTCATAAAATATACAAAGAGTGGACCAATAATTCAAGAGGGCTGGAATCTTCTGCATCACATATTTATAGAACTGTATATGAGAATATATGTCCATGTAAATGTCTTTCTATTGTGATGCCCTGGTTGTTCACAATTCTTACAAATTATGTCACCCTCAACATTTATTCCACTGCCTTTGGCAGAATAGCCCCAAACAGAAAAGAGTTTCAAAGAAAAAAATCCTGTGATAATCACCGAAGAATGATCAGTGAACATTTATACACATGGATATAGAGCTGCACGTTTTAAGTGATTTCTCAATTTTTACTATGCAGTGAAACAGATTTAAAAAAAAACAAACAAACCCAAACTGAAAACTTTTTCAAGAAAACAAAACCATCAGCCCAGACCTGCAGCAAATTCCACTGTAGAAGAAGCTTTTTGATCTGAGAAGGCAGCACTCAGATAGAGGGTCTGCCATCTGCTGGTGCTGCATAATTGTGGAAAGCCAAACATTGGTGGCACACTGTTATGAACAATCTGGATGTTTTCAATTGCACCTCCCACAGTCCCTTGCCACTGGCCACGTTGGGTGAAACTGCTGCCAATCCCAACCACCTGGAGGACACCAGGCTGATTACACCATAATGAAGAATATCTAGCCTGTGGGACAGAAGCAGCCTGCCAAACCTCACCACTTGGTCACAGTGTCTCCTTTAGCCCCTCTACCAAGCAATCAGGCTTGAGGAGAAAAGCAAAGAAAGACTTTCATTGGCTTCACAGCCTAATTCCAAGAACAGCAGACGTATGTATGTGGAGGGGATGATTTTCAGGGTGGTCACTACTGGAAGAAAGGGTTAATTCTTCCTTCCCTGTGATTGTGATTTCCCTTCCCCCTCCCCTTTTTTTTTTTTAGCAGGACTAATTGCAGGACAGGACACTGATTTGAAAGAGATTTACAGGGAGGGAAGGAAGCAAAAGTTAACTCTTTATGCAGCAGTTGGGGCTCTCTCAAATTGCTCCCCCTCCCCACATATATATGCATCCTACAATCAGCCATGGAAGAAGCCTTTCACTGACTTTAATAGGTTTTTCTAAAGTCTAACTGCAGAATTAAGTTGAGAGCTGGACTGACCTTGTCTTATGTGCAAGACTACCATGTCAGGTCTGCATAATTCTGGCCAACCACTAGACAGCAGCAATGGATTAGAATTTTCTATATCTCTTCACTGATATCCAATGGTCTTCCGGAGTATTACAGCCTAGATATAAGATATAATTATGTCAGCCCTTCAGGGTAGACCAGAACAGGAAACAGACTACACTGAAATAATTGAACTATACTCTGAGATAGGCTTGAGCATGAAACTGAGCAAACTCAGGGAGGCAGTGAGGGACAGGAAGGCCTGGAGCAATATGGTTCATGGGGTCATGAAGAGTCGGACACGACTTAACGACTGAACAACAACAACAACTGAGATAGGCTATAATAATAGAATCTTGCAAACCTGATTGTGCTTTACCTCTGCTCCCTCTTATAGCCCAATGAATCAGGGAGGAGCCAGTCTGAGTCACTTCCCAACTACTATCTTTTTTCTCAGGACTTAAAGAATGTTTCAGCTGTCTTTGCTTATGTTCTTGCATATTTCCTTCAAGGTCATCTCCCTGATTCTCTAGAATTATGAATGAAACAATGTAAGTTATATGTGAGAATAGCAGAGTGCAAGATTGCAAGATAGGTAGGTAGGTAGGTAGGTAGGTAGGTAGGTAGGTAGGTAGGTAG